GGCGGGCGGTGTTCGCCGTTCAAACTAAAACAAGTTCGACCTTTTATCGGGAGAGGAGGGAAGGACGCCAGGGTGACATTTCAGCCCCGTGCGGCTCGGCGCGGTGCAGCGCGGTGCGGCGCGGTGTCCCCGGTCCGACAGGGTCCCCCCTAATGCGCACACTGACATTTTGTCTCTACGGCGGCGCTCGCTGCGGCGGGGCGGGGCGGGGCGGGGCGGGGCACAGGACCGTACCCTCGTATCTCATCGCACGGGCCCGATCACATGTGTAGTGCCGGCGCGCAGGACGCACAAGAAGAGGAGGTTCATTGGCCGAGCAGAGGCGGAGTGATCGACGTCTTAAAGACTGCGCGAGAGGACAGGGACAGTGCATGGAGAGAAGGAGAGCGACATACACTAACACGCGCACACGCACACACACGCACACGCACACACACACACACGCACACACACACACGCTGCTGCCCGAGCAGCTCGCTGCCCCTAGCTAACCAACCCTCTCCCCCGCGCGGGGACCACAAGGACCACAAGGGGCCTGTGTCAACAGGGCGCAAACAAGCTGTAAGTAAATCCGAGGGGCATAAAGGCTGCTGACTGGGCCGAGGCGGCCCGAGGGCTCTGGCCCCCCGAGGGGAGGGGTGGCCCGCTTGCGGCGCTCGCCCTCAGGGGATGATGCGCTGACCCCGCGGCGGTCGAGGGTGGCGGAGCGCTAACCGCCCCTCGGGGCCGAGAGAGGAGGCGGAGGGCGGAGGAGGAGGACGTCGCAACAGTGACCAGGCCGGGGCCGGGCCGGGCCGCGCCACTAACTTCTTTATGCATGCGGCTTTGTCTTGGTTATCGTCTCGGGGAGGGAGAGGCGTCCCAGGCCGGGCCGGGTTAAGTGCGGCGCCAACAAGAAGGAGAGGGTGTTTGAGGTGAGGCCTATTAGGGAGGGGTGGGGAGCGCTCCCGGCCCGCGCCCGCCACCATGAACAGCTCACTCACTTACTCTGCGATTTCTCATCTCACGGGGCCGGGGCCGGGGCCCGGCCCGGCCAGCTGGTCACGTTCAATATTACACTTACGAGTCCCGGGCAGCTACGCTAGCAGTGCTGGTGCATTTGTACGAGTTATGCCTATCGCTTTCGGACCCCGCTGAGACGTGGGCGCAAATGCACAGAGAGAAAGGAAGAAGGGAGAGGGGAGGGGGAATATACAGGCAGAGAGGGAATACAGGTGAAAAAGAGGTGGAGGGATGGAGAATGGAAGAGAAAGAGGGGGGAGGAGGCGTAAAGAAAAGGTTGAAGAGAGAGAGGAGAAAAAGGAAAGAAGGCCGGGCCCCGGAGGGATAGCCCCATCACTGCGCCGTGTGGCGCGCAAAACGCTCCGCTATCGTCCCAGCTATCGATGGCTACAACGTGCACGGGGGCAGGGCCGGGCAGGGCCGGGCAGGGCCGGGGAGGCTGTGGGGCCCAGCTGTACGGCGGTAGCAACGAGTTAGCCCATTTGAATTAGTCACGCTGCAGTGCGCCCTCTTCTCTCTCTCTCTCTCTCTCTCTCTCTCTCTCTCTCTCTCTCTCTCTCGCTATCCCCCGTCCATCTCTCTCTCTATTCATCTTTCTCCTCTCCCTCTTTCGCTCACTACAGCTGCTCAGGGCCGCGCGCGGCGCTCGCGCACCTTGACGTTATCACTGCGAAATAATGGTCCAGTCATATATGAGGCAGCGGCGAATAAAATCGACGGGAAAGTAGCAAAGCGCCGCGCCGCGGCATTCCAGGGCATATGTGCGCTGCATGCGGGGCGGGGCGGGGCGGCGCGGGGAGGCGCGGGGCGGCGCGGGACGGCGCAGGACCGTACGCACGACGCTTTACGAGCACCGGCAGCGCGCACGGGACGTTTTCATTCAAAATACATTACATACCCGAAACACGACTATAACACGAGAATAAGGGGTCGGAGAGGGTCGAGGTGCGCCAAGGATTGCCCAATAAGTAGTATGGTACTTCCGGCTGCTTGACATCCACTTTAATCCTATGCCATAGAGCCCTAGGATGGTTGCCGTTCATCTCGATTGGAAAAATCAGTGTCGCAGAATTCAAGCAAAGAGCGCGGAGCCAATAGTTAATTCGAGCTCTCGCGTGGCTCATTTGCTTTTGCTTTCGGATGAACAGCTGACGTTCAAAACAAACACGCGTGTTTTGAATGTGGGCCAGGCGGGTGGCCGGCCGTGACCCGTGTGGGGCGGGGCCAGGCGGGGCCGGGCGGGGCGGCTGGCGGTACAGCGAGCTCCGGCGGGCGGACGGGACGATTTGACACCCTGCCAGGGTGGAGGAAGGGAAGGACCGGCACCGCCCCACCCGCGGGCCTGGACCCGGCCAGCGTCGTCTCCGCGCAAAAACACACTACACAACGGCGAACAAGCAGGGCGAAAAGGCTCAAATCCAATGCAATCATGTATATTTACAGAAACCGCTAGCAATATGCAGGACGTTTGTTTTCACCAGTCTGGGTGCGGTCAGCGGCGCGTAGCGTACCTTGTTTTGCTGGTAGCACTGCGCGGCCCAGCATGCGGGGTCGTGGGGCAGATACGACGTCTGGAACATCGTCTCGCCTCACTTCACCATCCTGGCGCGCCTAGCTGACCACTCACACTTCACTTTTTCATCAGCACAGGACGTTCAAGAGACCGGGCATTCAAATCGCCGTACGTCTGTACCGTGTCCCCATTTTTTTCCAGTTTCACTCGAATTGCACAAAGGGGCGAATAACACACGAAAACACAACACTTTTCACACCAGTTCACAACACTTCACTTCACCCGGCCACGTACACCGTACTGTCGTGACGTGTGTTGCACTTGTTCACTGGACATCAATAAGCACTGTTTTTCACTGACTTCAACACGACGGCTCTGGTGAAAAAACACACTCACACGTGAGCGCACACATGCACACGTACGCACGCCAACAGACACTCACATACACTGCCACAGAGCGTTTCACCCGCACCGTTTCTCTCTCACCATAGCGAGCAGGCGCGGCTTTATTCGGACGGCGCGCGTGCCTGGGCGTCCATCGCACTTAGTCACTTGGTCAATATCGCGGCACTTCCGGTAACGGCACTTCCGGCGAGCATTTCAAACTCTCTTTCACAAAGATTTTTTGTTGTTGTTTCAGGGGCTCGAGCACTGTCACTATGTATTGTCACAACTTGATGAGCCTATCACTTCACTTTCACTTGTCCTCCTGGACCTCCGAGGAGAAGCACACCACAGTGTATCACTGAGAACGCAGGTCTCCAACAGTCACACTTTGATAGAGTCGCACTTTGCACTTCCGGATGTTCCAGGTCATTCACACTTGTCGCGCTGGAGGCCACTGCGACGAGGAGCAGCCGCTAGATGGAGGTGAACTTGCCGGAGAACTCTAGACGCACGAGCGCGCGCGGAGAGTGCCGAGGGAGCACTGATAGAGCGCTGGAGGAGCTGGCGGCGCGCGGGGCTGGCTGGGGCCGGCTGGAGCGCTGGAGGCCGCCGTCCCGGGCTGCAATGTCAATCAGAGTGCGCTGGCGCTCACGCTGGCGCTCGCCCGCTCGCACCGTGGGGCCCGTCCGTGGGGGGCTGCGGGGGCCTCCTGTGGGCCACTCGCAACGCCAGACCACGCCCGCTGCCCAGCGCGCGGCGGGGCGCGGCGGGGCGTGGCGGGGCGTGGCGGGGGGCCGGCGGGGAGGGGGCAACACCGCATAGCCATGCTGCTCAAGAATGCTAAGCCGCACCGGCACTAAGTCATGCTGCGTGAGTGTGTGAGTGTGTGAGTGTGTGAGTGTGTGTGTGTGTGTGTGTGTGCGCGCGCGCGCGCGCGCGCGTGAGGACGCGTGAGGACGCGTGGACGTGTTAAGGGGGAGAGGAAGGCGTATGTGAGTTGATAAGTTAAGCATTTCCAATCCCAAGCTCAGTGAGCAGACGACGCCAGCAGGTGGCGCCCGTGGGGACTCGACGGAATGACATCCCCTTCTTTGCCCGACCGCGGAAGGAGGCCCCCGCACAGCAGTCCTGCACCGACCCCTGCTACCTTCTGCGCGCTTCCAAAGTAACGAAAACAATTAAGCAAAATTTCTATTTTTTACGATTTTTTTTGTTTTGATTTTTTTGATTTTGTTTTACATTTTTCGCTGTGGCGCAGGTGGATTGGTCCTCGGCCGACCGGCAGGATATTGACTACGGCGGCGCGCGCAGCGGCGCGGTTCCTGCAAAATACTCCGCGACGTCACGCTACTGCCGAGCCGAGGTCGTGTAGCCGGTTATAGAGTCGGGGTCCGCGGGCCGCCCCGCCCCGCCCCGCCCCGCCCCGCCTCGGCTCCGAGGGTTCGAACGCCAGCCGACATCAGGGCAGAGTCCTCCCGCTGCTGCTGTGACGATTAGGGGGCTTTTCCTCTCCAGATCTGCCAGTCCATTATAAAAAGATTCGCCTTTCGGTCCGAAGCAGCGGCAGGTCGGCCGGGCCGGGCCGGCGGCGCTTACCGGCTCCAGCAGCCGGCCAATGCGGCCACTAATAAAGAACCTCAGCTGAAGAGAGGGGAAAGGGGGGAGGGAGAAAAGGAGAGAGAGGAAGGCATGCGGTGCTGCGGCGTGGCCTGCCGAGGGCCTACCTCACCGCGCTGGACCAGTACCTCGGGGACGTAAAAGTCTTGGTGCGCGTATAACACACCGGCGCACGCACACACACACACACGTGCACGGGGGACACACAGACGGCGGCCACGGAGGAGACTCCACCGCAGCCGCTCTGCTGCCGAGCGCGCGGAGAAACAAAACAGATTGAGCGGGACTCAGACCGGGACCCGGCCAAAAGGAGCACGACCCAAAACTGGTAATCACCGAAATACAAATCCTCGCCGCGCGGTGACATTTAGACGGCGTATCAGACCGGTCGACCTTCAGGACACGGCGCAGAGGAGGAGGAGGGGGAGATGGGAGGGCAGACGAAGAGTTCTGATTCTGATACCGGGTCGGGTCGACTCATCACATGAGAAGGTGGATTTGGCCAGAGGCTGCTGCTGCTGACTGCTCCATCTTGTCGTCGCTCGCTGTGGCACCCGGGGCTTGGGTCCGCCGTTCCGGAGCTTTAATTGAAATTTCAACAAATCTTTTGAAGACTGAACAGGTGAAGAAATATTTCGCGACGTTTCGGTTTAGTCTGTGAAGAGTATTTTTATTTCTTAGCGGGCGTGCATATAAACAGCACTACTGTAATATGATAATACGAGTTCTCTGGCAGGAAGGGGCGCGACACGAGCGGACACCTTCTCTGCGCCGCGCGCGCTGCAGCAGCGACGGGTGCGAGGGGGACGGAGTGGTCGGCAGCACAAACAAGAAAAAGTGCGCTGATGATCAACTTGTTTATATTTATGACGTAGGCGGTAGACGACCTGCTGCCAGCCCGCCCGCCCGCCTGCCGGACAAGGAGCGACTCGAGTCGAGCCGAGTCGAGCCGAGTCCAGCCGAGTCCGGCCGAAGAGCGGAGCAACCGGGTCGAGCCGGGTCGGGCGGCGTCTCCTCGCTCTGCAGCAGCAACAATAAGCCTCAACTGCACCAGCAGCATCATCACCATATCAAACCTGATCTTGTCCGGGCCGCGTCCCCGACGATCCAAAGATCGCGCGCAATCCAGATTGGTTTTACTCTGCCCCCACCGCCACCGGGCTCGGACCAGGACGTTGTCAACGGCAAGGAACGAAGGCTAGGCCGGAGAACACGGAGGGGAGCGGTAGGCAGAGGAGAAGGTCGAGCGTGACACCGGAGCTCGGCGGGTTGCCTATCTCCTCGCTGTAAGGCGCCCGGCGACAGCCGCGGAGACGCGGACGGGGAGGGAACCGTTGGAGTCTGGAACCGCCAGCTCGATGAGAACCTCGACGACTTCATACCGGCTGAAACCCTTGCATAAAACTTGATGTGAAAGTCAGAGAGATCACTTTAGCGCGGGGGCAGGCAGCTCGCCGCGGGCGGGCCGCATGCCACTCGTGCGTTCAAGTTGCCTACCGGCAGGGGCAGCGCCGGGCAGCGTGCGCGCGCATAGGCCCAGCGGCTCGAGTCCCGGGGACACACGCCGTCAGCGGCCGGGCATGGAAATCATATGCAGAAGCATGCAGGAGGAGAGAGATTGCGGGCGGCGTTAATCCGAAGTGCGCTCGCCGTCAGGAGCAAGGGCATCACAGCCGTCATGGGCACGGGGGGACGACTGACAGCTCGGGCAAGGGCGGGTGGGCACTGCAAACAGGCTCACACGCAGGGCCGCAAGAGGACACGAAGCGAAGCGAAGACACGGGCGACTTCGTACCTGTCCGGAAGACGGAGCCTGCAGGTAGGTCGAGACATCGGGCTCCACCATGCAGGAGCGCAGAGACTCGGGGATGAACATGACCCTGGTGCTGCGGTGCTGCTGCGGCGCAGGGTGCACGACGGGGTGGTGCACGGGGTGGTGCACGGCGGGGTGGGCGTGGGCGGGGTGCTGGTGGGGCCAGCCGCCCATAGGGCCCACCCAGGGCGGCGGCGCGGAGTACGGGGCAGCCACGGCTGGGGGACGTGGGGGCGGCCCCCTGCCCGGACTCCACTGGGGCACTGCGGCGCTCCGCGGGCTCCGCGGACTGGGGCAGCAGGAGGGATGGCCGGCTAGGACCACGGTGACCGCAGCGGTGACGGCCTGCTAGGCCAGGACGCCGCGAGACCGTCCCGCGACATGGGCAGCCCGACGACGGAGGCGGCGACGCGACGTGATGCGGCCCCGGGTGCACGCGTCGGTGGCGGGGCCGGGCGGGGCCGAGCGGGGCCGGGCGGGTCCGCGGGCGCGCGCAGCAGCTCGCCGAGGAGCCCGGTGGGGCGCGAGAAGGCAGGCCGGAGCGCAACGGAACGCTCGCCACGCTACGGACTGGCCTCCCGCCAGGCTCGCTTTGCAGCGCAAGCGCCTCGGCGAGCAGAGCGGAGCCTCGCTGGGTCGCCGCCGGGACGGGCCGCGCCGGGCGCGCCGCGCGCCGGGCCCGCGGGGGGGCGTGG